GACACAATTCGATTCCGGATGAGTCGCTCGTCACTTGAACTCCTAAGCATGTTTCCCATGCTTCTCCAATCCGCGAATGATGAGGATGGCGTTAAGGCTCTCGAATATCTCGTGCGTGAGACGAGAAGTGATGTTAAAGGGGTCTTGTTTACGGATGGGTTCACAGGACCCTGGTGAATCGCCGATTCGCCAATTACTTCAGATCGGAGGATAGCTAGCCGGTGTCTCAGTATAGAATTTTCGAGTTTTCGAATTGTCTCACGCGCTGCCTCGTTTCACATAATTTCACATACTCTCGAGTAAATTGAAGCAATATTCATATGTCTGGTAGAAGACATGTCTAACACCTCGCTCTTGACGACTTTATACGCAATCGGTCGCGCATTTTACACGGAATTGCGACTTTCGCTGGCGTTTGACGAAATGTTGAATCTGTTATCCACTTCGTATAATTCCGCTCGGCCTGAAACTGTGATACACGTAATACGGGTTCATTTCTACTGATAATGATATACTCGACCTATCCGAATCTAGGCTGAGACACTTAGGAACGTGTGTTACTCAGATGAGTCACCCTTCCACACTTACGTCACGTGAGTGCGACGGAGTGACGTACGTGCCAACACGGATGACCCGCCACGCATCCACGCAATCTGCGTCACACGGTGGGGTAGTTTATGCGTACAGTTCGGCACAACGAATAACTCTCTCGTACCTCGCAATGAAGCTCCTCGTAACATTATTCGTGTTCTTCTCGTGCGGTATTCTTTACGTCAAGGCAAGGGTGGATGGAAATGAAAATATCCGCGGGCTCGGTCCTGTGAACGGCGATCCCAACGACAAATACTATTACGGACAGGAGGATTATCTCGAGGCCATCTCTGTACCGAAGGCTTGGAGTATCCTGGACTCTATACCAAAGAGAACGCAGGTGACCATCGCAGTTATAGACGATGGAATCGAGGCAAGTCACCCTGATTTGAAGGGCGTCGTCATCGAGGGCTACAACGTCGTTGATAAAAATAG